CAAAAGCGAAGAAGGAGAAACTAGACCTTCGCAATTGTGAATGAAATCGTGCGAACGCGAAGAAAATATAATTCACCCTCCAAAATTACACTACGCGAATGCGGAGGAAATGACGCGAACACGATTAAGGAAACCAGACATCAGTAGTTCAACAGTCCAAAAAATAGAAGGAAATGGCCCGTAACCCATCTGAAATACACCCGAGGCCACCCGGACCCTGTCTAAACATACCAACAAGTTCTATAACCTAACACTGACTCGCTCGAGGTCTCAAATCACATCAAACAACGTCGAAACTATGGATCGCACCATAGATCGAGCTTATGAACTTTCAAATCTTCCAACTTCTAAAACTCGCGCCGAAACCTATCAAATCAACCCGAAATGACACCAAATTTTGCAGACAAGTCCAAAAATAACATAATGGAGATGTTCCAACTCTCAGAATCGCATTCCGACCTCGATATCACAAAAGTCAACTATTGGTCAAACTTCTCCATCTTCTAAACTTCAACTTTTCCAACTTTTGCCGAAATGCCTCAAATTACCCTACGAACCTCCAAATCAAAATTCAGACGCACGCCTAAGTCCCAAATCACCATACGAAGTTGTTGAAATCATCTAAAACTCATTTTGGAGCCATTTACACAAAAGTCAAATTCTCGTCAACCCTCGTCGCTTAAGTTTCCAAAACTTGAATCCTTCTTCCATTTTGACTCCGAATCATCCGGTAATTGAACTTGACCACGTACGCAAGTCATAACACATAATACGAAGCTGCTCAAGACCTTATTCCACTGAACGGGAAGTAAATTCTCAAAACGACCAGCCGAGTCGTTACAAGTGAAGCAGCGTTTTTCATTTTGGGGCTTTGTCAAATTTGATTTTCTTGCTATTTGTCTTGTGCATTTTTAATTTTAAAATATTTTTTAAGTAATATTTTATAATATTTTGGTTTAATATTCATACTCACGCTTCTTATACGCGTAAAATATGCATAGTTTGTCTACCTCAGCCATCAAGTTGCCACATATGTTCAGTCAACGGTCAGAAGGACATAAAATAGTGTGTTTTAATTAGTGTAAGTATCTAGATGAAAGTTTGTGGAAACAGGGACCGGGATGATAAACCAGAGCAAATACAAGGGCTACGAGGCTATTTAGCCTTTTTTCTAAATATGTAAATTTTATTTCAAAATTATTAAAGATTCTATGTCTAAAGTCGTTGTGGCAGGAATTTTAAATTTATTGGAATTAAATCCATAAAATAATTTGGACTATATTTTAGATTCAAGATATATTAGTTAAAATAAATTTATTGGGCTAATATAATAATATTAATTATATAATTCCAAATATATATGGGTTAAATAAATCAGTCCAGGTCCATTGGGCTAGCCCATCTAGTTCTGCTACAGACGATGAGCCCACTTCATTATACCCAAGAAGTCATCTTCCTAGAGGCTCAATTTGGTGCCATATGACAAATGATGTGTCATGCCAACTCAAATTACAAGGCCAATGAAATCGAGCTACATGTGCAAGTGATATGTTCTGGCCAATCAAATGCGGCCTTGTCACACTTCAGTATGATTGGTCAGAAAGAGTTTATTCTCATCACAGTCTTCCCTCCCACAACTATAAATCGCGGTTTTCATAACTTTGGAAAGGGGACCAGAAATTATAACAAGAAGCTAGATAGAGCTCGTGGATCAAACACCGCAAAATTATCTATAAGTTTCAAGCTTAAACAATCAAGGTTAAATTCAAAAAATCAAGTTCAAGCACAAGAACGAAGAACAAAATAAGATTCAATGTATACGAGCTCAAATCAACGTTTGTGCTAGTTGAATTCAAGATCATATTTCGTGGCAACAAATATAGATTCAAGATCAAGCTCAAAGGCCCTTGAATTTATTTACTATTGAAAAAAAGAACCAAAGGATCATATAGATTGTACACTCCTATTATTTAAAATCAATTACTACGGTTATTGCAATATTTTCGGTCTCGATTATTTTTTTGACGCCAATTTATTGTCTAAAAATTCTGGCATGCCTAGTGGGACAATATCAATTTTTCAATCATCAAAGTTCAAAAATATCGAAATGGCTTCACAGAAAATCAACTCCAGATCAACTTCCACTAAGGCTGCTAATTTCAAGTTTTATGTTGATGTGGAAAGCAAACTCGATGTTACCTTTAAAAGCATTGGGCCAGTTACAGTGAGCAAAGCAAGCTCTTTAGGACAATAAACACTCCAAGTGTCGTCCGTATCAACCCCTATTTTTGGATCTTCATCCTCAAAAGGAGCAAGATCCTCGACAAGCATGACCCAAAAAGGGAACGAAGTCACCAAAAGGATCAAAAAAGTTCTTGTCCAACTTAGTTCATCTAAGTCCAAAAAATCTTTCATGCAAGCCGATGATGATGACTTGAGCGCTATATCTACTTAGTCACCATTAATGCAACTTCTACGCTCTATCCCAGTAATGATCCATATCATCATTTATCCTTTACGCCGATTATGTAAGCAATTGTTAATGAAGTCTCTAACATAGAAGAACAACTTGAAAATTTAACGAAAGCAATTAAAGGCTTGTCAAAGCGCGTGCAAGATCAAGATGCTAAACTTTTCAAGTTAACAAATAAGTTAGATAACATAGTAGATGGACAATCCACACAAGCACCCTTAAACCATCAAAGGTAATGAGAGAAAGGAGACTCCTTCGAAAATCATGCAACGACAACCAAGGAGATCCAAGTCTCTACTGAAGGTCTGATTCCCGTTGAGAAATTGAAGGACTTCATCATAGAAGATATCAAAGAGAATCTTGAGTCGCCTTCCAAAATAGCTCTCACATATGCTAAGCTATTATACGTAACGAATTGATAACTTGAAGATGCATGTTAGTTATCAACCTCCTAAGTTGCAATAATTCGACGACAAGCGAAATCTGGAACAACATGTCGCACACTTTGTTGAAACTTGCAACACTGCTGGAACATACGGTAATTATCTTGTCCAACTGTTTGTTCGATCTTTCAAAGGCAACGCATTTAATTGGTACACAGATCTCGAATATGGTTCCATCGATAGTTAGGAGGAATTAGAGCATGAGTTTCTCGATCATTTCTATTGCACAAGACACATCATAAGCATGATCAAACTTGCACACGCTCATCAATGAAAGGATGAGCCAGTTATTGACTTCATCAATCGATGGAGGAACTTAAGCCTCAACTACAAAGATCGCCTCGGTGAAACTTCTAGCATCAAAATGTACATTTATGTTATGCATTGGGGTCTTCGCTATATCTTACAAAGAATAAAGCCAACAATATTTGAAGAACTAGCGACTCCTACTCATGATATTGAACTAAGTATGGCAACAAGTAGAGACCAAGGGATACCTGTCTTTGAGTCTTACAAAGAAGAAGATGAAGAACAACAACAACAAACAATAAGGCGGAGATGGGGGCAAATTTTCATACGAAATGAAATTGAAGAGTCAATGTGCGAGCGTAAACTACATGCTCCTCAACTCATGAGCGTAAATTGCAAATTACAGTGCTTCTCAATAAATGAGCGTAAACTGCACGTTATGATGCTCCTCAACGCACGAGCCTAAAGTGAAAGTTATAATGCTTCTCGGCATATGAACCTATACTAATGTCAAAAAACTCCCCAAATTTGAACTAAATCTTTAAGAAATAAAGCTCTTCAAATTTGAGCAAAGACTCGAGTCGAAAGCTCTTCAAAGTCTATCAAAGACTTCAAGTCGCAAAGCTTTTCAAATTTGATCCAAACTTCAAGTTGAAAAGCTCTTTAACTTTGATCTAAATCTTCAAGTCACAAAGCTAATCAAATTCGAGTCAAACTTCAAGTTGCAAAGCTTTTCAAAATTGAGCAAGTCTTCAAATTGCGAAGCATTTTGAATTGAAAGTGAAATCTTCAATTACAATGCTCTTGAATGCACGAGCGTAAACTACATGTCATCAAGCTCTTCAAATTTGAGCAAAACCTTCATGAAGTAATATCTACCATAGCGTTTAACTTCTAGTAGGATTTGTAAAGAGTCCAAGTAGAATACAAAAGAATTGTCCTATGTGTGTTGGGAGGCTAATCTTTATCACTATTAAACATTGATCAAAGAAAGCTAATACTAAGATTTATTAGTGAGTCAGTCACGTGAAATTTCACATAAGGTTAGCCCATTTAGTTGGGCTACAAATGACGAGCCCACTACATTAGACACAAGAAGTCATCTTCCTAGAGGCCATGGTGTCATGTGTCAAATTATGTAGCACGCCAAGTTAATTGGAAAGGCCAATAGGATCATGTCACATGTCAAAATAACAAGGTATGCCAAGAAAATTAAAAGGCCAATGAAACACGTCACATGTGAGTGACATGAATCAAATGCGGTCTTGTCACACTTCAGACTGATTGGTCGGAAAGATTTTGTTCTCATCACAACTCTTCCATCCTACAACTATAAATAGGGGTCTTCATAACTCAGAAAAAGGACCAAAAATTATAACAAGAAGTAAGAGAGAGTTTGTGGATCAAACGCCACAAATATCTCTATAAGTTTCAAGCTTCATGCAATCAAGTTCAAGTTCAAGAAATCAAGTTCAAGCTCAAGAACGAAGAACAAATCAAGATTCAACGAGTAAGAGTTCAAATCAACACCTGTGCTAGTTTAATTCAAAATCATCATTCGTGGAAATAAATATAGATTCAAGATCAAGCTCAAAGACCCTTGAATTTATTTACCATTAGAAAGAAGAATCAGAGGATTTATATAGATTGTACACTCATATTATTTGAAATCAAATACTACGATTGTTGCAATATTTTTGGTCTCGATTATTTTCTTAACGCCAATTTAATGTCAACAGCTATTAAAATTAAAATTTTTGACTTTCACTATCTGAAATACATCAAAAAAATTTGGACAGAGAAAATATTAATTAGTATAGTATAACCATTTTTAAATGAATAGTATGAATATTACATGCTGAACGAAATGGCTATTTAAAAGAGTACTTTCAATTCCGCTTTCTCTATCTAGCTCCTATGCCCTCTGGCGAACATTAGTCAAATGTACGCCCACTGTGGTTCATGGCTCGGGGAAGAGGACGAGCTCGAAAAAGACCCAGGTTGCAACCATTAGCTGGTATCGGTAAACCAGTTGAAGCTCCTATGCAACCAGATAAAGCTCCAACAACTGAGATTGTAAAGACTCTTGTTCCATTGGATGACGCAAGGATGAAGCAACATGAGAGTGAAATGATAATACAGGGGCCTGCTAAGAGATTCGATCTGAGTATTAGTCCATCTTTAAGCGAACAAAAGGATAGTCAATTGTGAAATTACAGATCTAGCGAGTACAAGTAAATCTACACCAGATCTAGCACCAGTAATTGAGAAAAAGAGGACATCAAATGCATGGACTTCTCTATTTGCAGGTAACCGTAGCTCTGAGAATGGGTTAAAGTTATCTTACATTCCCCCAAAAATTATTGATGGGAAAACTGTTGCTCAACTTGAGAAAGAGGATGTTGATAAGAAAATACTGAAATAAAGATGTGCTCTAATTGTGTATGTAATTGGGGAAACTCTCGCTATAACTATATGCATAGATTTGTAAAGCAGAGTTGGAATCAAGTTGCAAAGCCAGAGGTGTTTTACCATGAAGAGGGCTACTATTTAGTCAAATTTTAGTCCATCCATGACATGCACAGAGCCTTATATTCAGATCCCTATATAGTTAACAACAAGCCTCAGACCCTGAAACCATATATTATGAATTTTGACTTTACAAAGGAACTCACTGAGATTCTTCTGTGAGTGGTACTACCAAATCTTCATATGAGTTTCTGGGGTGGTCAATCTCTAAGTAGAATTGCAAGTTCAATAGGAAGACCTTTGTATGCTGATGAATGTACTTCTAAAAAAAAGAGGATCTCATATGCCCGTATGATAAGTGAAATCAATGTTACTCGACCACTTCCCACTAGTGTCACTGTGTGGAATCTGATGGGAGACATTTTGATCAATCGATAGAGTATGACTAGAAATCAGATTTTTGTGAAGTGTGTTTGAAAATTGGCCACTCTTGCAAGCAAATTGAGGTTGAGCAGCACAGAGTTGAACAACCTAGAAGGATAAGAAGACCAAATGGAAATGCACAACCTGCCCCAAAACCAGCCCCACAACCTGTGGAAACCCAAAAGGTGATCCAGGAATGGAGAACAAAGAAACTTACTGATGTTGGGGAAAAGCCTATTGACCAATTAGAGGCAAATAAGCCAATTATAGGGATGCATGACCATCAAGTTCCTGAGCAAAGACAACAACCACTAGTTATTTGTGAACAACAGGCAATGGTAAGGAGCAAGGAGATTTACAAGGAGGACCAACTACCCAGAGAAGTCCTGAATTGAGTTGTATCAGGGAGTTTCCAACTTTATCTACCACTGTTCAAAGAGAAAGTAAAACAATAGTGAAAACAGGTGGGAATGGGAATCAAAAATGCTTGCCTACAACAAATAGTGGGCCTTCTATACCAGCCCAATGACTTGGTTAGTGTGGAATGTTAGAGCGATTAATAAGAGATATAAGTAGAAAGAGCTAAAGTTATACTTAAAGAACACATACATAAAACTAGTTGGTCTTCTGAAAACTAGAGTTAAAGAAACTAGTGTCAATAGAGTTTTCAAAAATATATTACCAGGATGGGCACTTTAGTGTAATTATCAAAGTACAGTGTGTCACACCCCTATTCTACCCCGCAAAAGATATATGTTATGTGTATTGTGGGTTAAAGAATTTTTTCAATTAAAGTGATAATTTTGAAAAGGGATTATTTTATTTACAGAGCCGCCACTTGAAATTAATTTTGGGTGTTCCAACTCACCTTTTGTTTGGATCCCTAATCAAAGGAAGATTTGACACTTTTATTATAGGTCTGCAAAAATAAAGTTCGGGGAAGAAATTTTGTTGACCCGGGAGAAGGTGTGAGGCACTTCCCAAATCCCGTGATTCTAGCACAGTCGCTTGATTGACTTAAACTTGGCCTGAATTAATTTTAGATAAACTATGCTTTATTTTATTTTTCATGTTTTACCTCTGTCCGCTTTTATTGTTGATAAATTTTTTACTCTCGAACTAGTATGAGTACTCCCGACCCTAGCATACACTAACCAAGAAGAGTAATCCCGACCTTAATTTGTGTAGCACACCTGAACTTAGAGCCTTCTTGGAGTTAATTAAAGGCTATCATTTGGGAAAAAGTGAGTCAATATGTGTCTTCACGACTTTACCATTTTAATTATATCTTTATTCCAAGAGAGTCTTCCCGATTTCGGTTAAGATAAAATTAATTAACTTTATCAAACCTATTACTTTCGATGTTAAATTATGGGAAAATGTGTGCTCAGCTTTATTATGAAAAGATAAACCTCTTCGTAGCTTAGTGGTAGTGAAATAATATATAAAAAAAATTTGCTGATATCAAGCCTACCTAAAGCTCTATTCTTACTTTTGTTGTCATTACAAGAACAACAACAACAACAACAACGACGACCCAGTATAATCCCACAAGTGGGGTCTGGGAAAGGTAATATGTACGTAGATCTTACCCCTACCCCGAAGGGTAGAGAGGCTGTTTCCAGGAGACCCTCGGCTCAAAAAGCAACAGGAGCCGATATATTAGTACCATAAAAATGCATAATAAAATAACAGCAATACAAGAGATATGAAATACAGAATACGAAATACGAAAAAGATGGCTGGTATAGTAAAATTAGCAGGTAAAGCCCTGCATCAATAGACGACCAATGACATTCTTAGTCTAACTCCTAACTGGCTAGTCTCACTCTATTGTGCTGTAGAAATATTCACAACTCTCCCCTAACCTACAACCTTAATACTCGACCTCCATAATTCTCTGTTAAGGGCCATGTCCTCAGTAATCCTAAGTCGCGCCATGTCCTGTCTGATCACTTCTCCCCAATACTTATTAGGTCGTCCTCTACCTCTCCGCGTGCCCACTACCGCCAGTCGCTCACACCTCCTCACCGG